GCTGCGGTGGCCGGGAGCGGCCACTGCACTCCAGTCTGGGCGAAAGAGTGAGACTCCAACAACAACAACAAAAAAAATAGAATGAAAAGTAACATAGCCGGGCTCAGTGGCTCTCAGCCTGTAATCCCGCGCCTTTGGGAGGCTGAGGTGAGTGGATTGCCTGAGCCCGCGGGTTTGAGACCCGCCTGGGCAGCGAGACCTCATCTCTACAATAAATCAAAAAAATCAGCCGGGCGTGGTAGCGCGTGCCTGTAATTCCGGCTACTTGGAAGGCTGAGACGGAAGGATCGCGGGAGCCCAGCAGGTCGAGGCTGCGGTGGCTGGGAGCGGCCACTGCACTCTAGTCTGAGCCACAGAGTGAGACTCCAACTCAAAAAAAAAAAAAGAAAAGAAAAGTAACATAACCTGCCTTACTGAAATTAAAAAAAAAACACAACAGAATAAGCAAGATTAAAAAAAATCCAGCAACTTTAAGTTGTAGATATCCCGAAAGAGTCCCTAATTTAAATATTTTGACCTGTTTGCAGATCATGTTGCACCATTTTTCTTTGGGAAAATATGGTCAGTCATATTAGGTAAAGTAACGTAGTTACCATTATTCTTTTTTCATGAATGTAGACACTCAGACTGGAAAGGAATGTAGACAGCTGAAATGCCATCTTGTGGCAGTCCCTTGCTGTTAGAGAGTTTCCCACTTAACACTACTCGTACTATTTAAGTAATGTGAAATTTTGTCCTGCTTTTTAAAAATTGTGAAATAAATCTTCCCTTGCTTTCTTTCTGTGCTTGATCCTTACGGGTTGTTAGAATATTTGTGTCCAACTTTAGTTTTTTATGCTAACATTACGCCTCAATCCTCACTTTCTCCTGTTGGGTGTGGTGTAACAAATGTGGAGATTGTGATCTAGGTGACTTTCAGCCTTCTCTTTTTTAACCTGTGTAATCAGTGATTGAGGGGGAGAAAGACATACCTGAATGAGGAGAGGGGTAATACAAGCTGTGGTGTATTCAAATCGTATTTCTTTCTTTTCCTTTCAGGTGGATAGTGCAAAGCCCTTTGGTGAGAATTTTTCAGAGCATCATTTGCGGAAGTCTAGAAGAAAATTGAAGTTTTCAAACTTTCCATTTCCTATGAGACGAGGTACTCAAGTTTCTTGTTACTCTTATATCTTTTTCTATGGGAATGAATGTATGTCCTACCTACCCTCTTTCTTTCTGAGGAATCACAAGATACCTTGGAAACTTCGGGTTTAATTCTCAAGTGCTCTTCAGCTGTGGAATTTCCAGAGCCATATTCCCTTGAAGTAGAGTCAGTTGAGAAGCTTCCATGAACTATTCTGAACAATGTGTTCCTAACCAAGTATACTATGGTTGTGGTTGCTCCCTGGCCGTGCTGGGAAATCAGAAAGCACCCTGTCCTGGTGTGAACTCCTTGCAAAAGCACCATTAATGTGTAACAAATAAGACTTTCCATTTTTCTGGATGGGAAAGAGCAGGAGATGAATGGTGATCAAGAGCCAATATTTGTTTACTAGATTCCTTGTCAGCAAGGAGGAGAGCCAACTTTATCTAAAGCAGCTAGGTTAAGGCAGGGTAGCTCAAACTTTTGGATTTTAAGATTCTTTTGCATTATTAAATGTTACTGAAGACCCCAAAGAGTTTTTGTTAATGTGGATAATATCTAGCTATATTTAGCATGTTAGAAATTAAAACAGATATTTTTAAGATACAAGAATACACTAGCACACAACCTATTAGCCATGAAAATGGTGACATCATGACATGTCAAGGAAGGTTTCGGAAAACTCAGTTGTACCGTCATGAGAGAATGAGAGTGAACAAGACAAATCATGTCTTAGTATTATTATGAAAGCAGTTTCAACCTTGAAGCTCTCCTGAAAGGGTCAGGCAGGCGGCTCACACCTGTTACCCCACTTTGGAAGGCAGAGGCGACAAGATTGCCTGAGCTCGGGTGTTCAAAACCAACCTGGGCAACTAGGCGAGACCTTGTCTCCACAATAAATCAAAACATTAGCCAGGAATGGTGGCAGTGCCTACAGTTCGGGTTACCTAGAAGGCTGAGGTAGAAGGATAATCTGAGCCCAGCAGGTCAAGGCTGCGGTGGCCGTGATCGTGCCACGGCACTCCAGCCTGGGTGACAGAGTAAGACTCCAACTCAGAAAAAAAAAATCTCCTGAAAGGTCTTGGGTACCCCTAGATCCCTGGGCCACACGTTGAGAGTCACTGAGTTAAGAAATACCTTGAGCTAAGCTTTTGCCTTATGACTGAAATATGTGAATCATGTCAGTAGTGAAAGTCATGGCAGTGAATGTCAACCATTCCTAAACTTAATCATAATTCTTAGTCTAGAAAGAAAAGGTAGTTGCCCATTTCCTTGCCTCTTGGTAGTACTGACCTTGTGTTATCCCTGGCAACAGAGTTCCCTATATTAGGCTTGAAGGTTTGTACTTTTAAGGGTCTGCAGAGGCTTTTGTGGTAACTCAAGCCAGTGTTCTTAGATGGTAGTGACTGCTTGACAGCAGCTGACCGACAATATACAGGGTTTGAAGCAGAAAGTGCTTCATCATCTCTGACATTTAATTTAAGTCCTCTGAATTGAAAATCACTCATGTACCTTACAAAGCAGTACTGTCTTCCCTATTATGGTGAAATCAAACAACAGCAAATGTCCTTTCCTAGGGAGGACAATTGAGGCTTAATGCAGATTCCATTTCGGTGGGACTCATATATCACACTGGTTTTGGCCTTTGTCTTTTCTTAATCCTGGCAGGTGGTGAACTAAGGTTTCAGAGAGGTTACAGTATGTGTTCAGGTCACACATCAAGTTTTTGGCATATCTACGTTTAGAGAAGACGTTCAGACCTCTGGGCTCAGATCCTTGAAATTCCTGTAGTTTTCAAGCCAGACCTTTGTTTAGGTCACCTGCCAGCTCATTCATCCAGGCCTAGAACACAGAAATGCTTCTCAAACTTGATTGTGCATTTGAATCACCTTGGAATCTTGTTAAACTGCAGACTCTGATTCAGCAGGGTCGAAGTGGGACTTGGGATCCTTCGGTCTAACAAGTTTCCAGGTGATACTGATGCTTCTGGTCCACACACTGCACTTTGAGAAGCAGGGGAATGAAGGCAAGGCCTCTCTGAATGGAAGTGCTCAAAACTAGTCGCATGGAAGCCACAGGGCGGGACTGTGGCTGTTGGTGCAAAGGGCCCCAGCCCAACTAGGGGTGGAGAGAAGAAAGCTCCTGGAACAAGATGGCACACACATATACATAGGTCCAAAAGACATAAAAATATTAGTTGGGCATGGTGGTGCATGCCTGTAAGTTCCAGCTACTTGGGAGGCTGAGGCTGAAGGATTGCTTGAGTCCAGGAGGTCAAGGCTGCGGTGAGCCATGATCATGCCATTGCAATTCAGCCTGGGCAACAGAGTGAGGACCTGACTCAAAACATACAAACAAAAGTATATGAAAATGATCATATCCTTTAAAATCCTTTAAAATTCCTTCTTGTATCTTCCTTCTAATTACTAGTAGCATGGAGGGATCAGCAGTCCAGGCAAAGTCCTTTGTCACTGCCTAAACCCAGTCACACTGGAGGAAGCTATGGTGACCTTAGCATCACCTTACAAATGTTCATTTCAAATCATTTTTTTTTAAACCTGGAAAAATCCAAACTAGTGTTATTTTTTTTTTGTGGATATACTTATTACTTCACTTCCTAGACATCCTTGCCATTTTCTGGCATTATGTCTACTTACTTAACATGATTATATAGGGTAATCATAATGACTTCCATTCTTGCTGCATTATGTTGCTTTAAGTTCTTATGTATTCATTGACTCGGTTTAGCATTTGTGTCTGCCTTGGACACATATATGCAAGAGCTCCTGCCTAAATAGGATTCCATGAAAATCAAAGAGAATGTCAGAAGAGGCAGAGTTTATACATTTCATATTAGACTCACAGTACTTTCTTTTAGGCTCAGGGCACCTTCTCAAATATGAATTTTTCAGACTGCTTAAGGGTTATTGAATTTATTGATTCACTTTAGACTTTCTTTTACCCTTCCCTTTATCCATGCGTGCTATCATTAAAAATATAACCTCATTGTTGACCTCAAAAGGACAAAAAAACCAAAACACCCTCATAGAATTGCTGTGACTCAAGGGAGACTTAAAAGTGATAGTGTAATTTACAAGGAAGCATTTAAGTTCTTTAATAATTTATTCACTGCCTGTGTTTTTTGTACTGCTGTGGAATAGATGTGTGACAGCAGTTTTAAGGCTAACTGGTAATAATGAGTCATTGAAATACCTGTTCCTCTTTCTTCTAGCTTCTTCTCTTGACAGCCTTGCAGCTAATGTAAAGGTAATTTTAGAAGTAGCATTTGTAAAATGATTTATTTCCAGCTATCTTGTGTCAATTACTGTGCTTTTCCAATCAGCAGCAGAACGTATAATTCTAACTTGTGCTGCTTATATGGAATTGCTATAGTTTAGCATTTATGTAAAATGCCCAGACTCCACTATATACTTCGCTTTGGGGTTACCCCTCTTATAAGCTCTTTTCATTTATGGAATGAATCACCAGGGAGGGTGTGTGTAGGTCCAATACTTACTTTATCGGTATGATTTTCACTGCTTTTTTCTAATTGAATGCCTTTATTTAGAAAGGTGGTAAATCACTTGTCCTCGAAGTTTGATTGGTTTGTTAAAGTGAAGGCTCAAACTTCTATTTACAACATAAAAATAGATGTACACAAAGAAAATTGAATATAGTATGTTTTTTATGCTATAACATTTAAATATTTTGTTAAAATTGTATTTTTCCAAGATCCAATAATCCCCAAGCCTCAGAAATAAAAGTTCAGAGCATGAGTTTATTTGGGATTGTTAGTCTATGTCTATGTTATACAGACTTTTGGTTATTTTGCCTTCGTCCTGACTCCTGAACATTTTGTCGCTAGGCTTCTCTGCTCCAGCCCCTCTTTCATTTGCAGGAGATCCCTGGGGCAGATATTCTGTCGTCTTACCCTTAATTCTCTTTCTTGTCCAACCCCACCCCCAGCTCTGTATTAAGCAAGCACAAGCAAACGACAGCTAAATAATGCACATTGTCACTCAGGTTATCAAAGAGCCCGATGAACGGATTTTTTTAAGGAATAAATCACCATCACCATTAGGTTCAAGTGAGTTTGGAAAGCCCTCACCTGGTAGCCAAAGGGGTGCCAATTTCCACCGGAAAACTTCATTTACTACCTCTCAGCATTCCAGATCTCCTAGCCCTCTGGACCAGCCCCTTCTCCAAGGAAGGTCAGTAGCAAGCAACCATCTCTTCTCTTGAAGAGTCCATTGTGGCCTGGCAGGAGTAAAGCCAGATCACTTCATCAATTTGCTTTCTTAGGAATGTTCAACTGGTGACAGCTTGTATGAAAAAATGATTGTTTCTTTTAAAAATCTACCCAAAAGTCAGAGTTGAGCCTTTTCTCTTGCTTCCAGAAAGCATGTATCAGGATGTTTGGAGTAAATGGGATAGCCAACTAACTTTGGTGTGGATACTATTTATCTACCCATTCTTTTTTTTTTGAGTTGGAGTCTCACACTGTCGCCCACAGTGGAGTGCAATGGCTGCTCCCGGCCACCACAGCCTCGACCTGCTGGGTTCCGGCAATCCTTCCGCCTCAACCTTCCAAGTAGCTGGAACTACAGGTGCATGCTACCACACCCGGCTAATTTTTTTATTTATTGTGGAGATGAGGTCTTGCCAAGTTGGCCAGGAGGGTCTCGAGTGGGCACAGGCAATCCACTCACCTCAGCCTCCCAAGGCGCGGGATTACAGGCTGAGCCACCGAGCCTGGCTTATCTACCCATTCTTATCTGTCATATATTTGAAAACCAAAGCTCTTCATTTCACCAGTATAAAAATGTTCACTAAGAAAATTTGGAAATTACAGAAAAAGGAGTGGAAAAAAGTCACCTATAGTCCTATCACTCGAAGACTAATGTTGTTAACACATGGGGGTATCTTTTTCTAGACATGATTTCCTGATTTGTTTACATTATTGTCACAAATAATAAAACACATTTGCATATGTCTGGAGGGCAGGTCACAGAGTGAAGGCAGAACTTTTATTTGCCAAACTACACTCTCTAGGTAGGTGACCAACCATCCAGGTTACCTGAGAATTTGCTTGGCTTTAGCCCTGAAAGTCCTGCATTCTGGGAAATCCTGAGTCTCAGGCAAACCAGGACAGTTGATTACCTTAACTCCAGGGAAGTAACACTGAAAAAATATATATGTTTTTTGAGTTGGGTCTCACTCTTTCGCCCAGGCTGGAGTGCAGTGGCACAATCACAATCACAAGGCTTACCTCAGCCTTGACCTCCTTGGGTTCAGGCGATCTTTCTGCCTCAGCCTCTTGTGTAGCTGGGACTACAGGCTCGTGCCACCACGTCTGGCTCATTTAAAAATTTTTTGTAGAGATGAAGTTTTGCCATGTTACCTAGGTTGAGAAAATAGTATTTTTAAGGCAGCTATTTTGAGTGAAGGATATGACAGTCTGCTTTTTTCTGCATTATTAGTGACAATAAGAAGCAAAATTGCCATACTAAAATAACATGATAGCTCACAAAGGGACTCATAGTGAATATATCCCAGAACCACAGTGGCTCTGAAATTTTAACAGGAATTACATTAAGTTTAAGGTAGATGAAGAAAGTGGTAATCCATTCTTGCTGTTTTTTTGGAAATGACAGGATAACTCTGTATTAAAATGTTGGATCATGAATTTAAGGAGACCAAATCAAATGTTTTAATAAAATCTACTAATGTATAGTGAAGCTATTGATGAGTTACTTTATTGGAAGAAAATAATGCAACATAGATTTTTAAAAACTGGCTTTGGCAGGTAGAGATAGGTAGTCAGAGGCACATTTTCACCTCTTTCTGTGCCCAACCTCTGTCCCCTCCTGGCTGATGCTCTTGCCACCAGCCCAAAATTTAGTAGGTTGAGCAATCAGGGGAGGTTATCCTGGATTTAAAGACTTAAAGAGAATTGATTTTAAACAGAGAATGGAAAGAACCTTAGACTGGTAGTGGTCAAGAGACTTGGGCTCTAGTGCTCATCTGTCTCTGTGTGTTGTGTGATCTCACACAACTACTAAAACCTTTTAGGCTTCAGTTTCCTCATCTTTTTTTATTTTATATTTTATTTTATTATTATCATTATTTTTTGAGTTGGAGTCTCACTCTGTCACACAGACTGGAGTGCAGTGGCCGCTCCCGGCCACTACAGCCTCGACCTACTGGGCTCTGGCAATCCTTCCGCCTCAGCCTTCCAGTAGCTGGAACTACAGGCGTG